CAACAACCCAACAACACCCCAACAACAACCCAACAACACCCCAACAACAACCCAACAACACCCCAACAACAACCCAACAACACCCCAACAAAACAACGGTAAAATGATACTGGTTTTCCACCCCATATCAACACTATCATCTTATCGTAAGAGGCCTGACCTCCGAGTTTAACATCCATCTCCAAAAGGGCCAAGCCAAATTGGAAATTTGTGCAAAGTGCCTCTCCCAAGGACATAACGTCGGACCGAGCTGAGGCTAGAATCTCCGAACACATAATCTCACGATTACGAGTTTGGTAGCTTATCTTCTGGGCTACCAACGTTACATGTTATCTCGTGCATTGTATCTGGAGCACTGATGTTGGCTGTTTTGTATCTTGTACATTGTATCTGGAGCACTCATGTTTGCTGTTTTTTATCTTGTACATTGTATCAAGTGGACAAAATGTTTGTTTGTTTATCCTGCCTCTCAAATAGATAGCACAACAGGGCCCAGCTTTTGCTTCGTATGAACTCGACTTGGCCTAGATAAAAATTTGGAGAAATAAAATAGAGCTACTAGATGTAGATATCTTGCTTGTTGTATAGAAGACATTTGTGGAGAAAAGGTAGAGGAAACCCTGCTCAAACGCCACCTATGCATAAGACAATCACCTGTACAAACGGCCATTTTTCACCCCCCCCCCCATCCCTTTAGTTTTAGTTTAAGTAGGAGTTTTACGGCACTTGCAACACAATAAGGTCATTTACGTGCCGAAGATTAGAGGTGTTACAAGAGAGTAACAAACACAAAGAAGGAGGGGGGGGGGTAGAGACGATATATTTTTTTATAGGAAAGAAAGAGCAAAACCACACCAGAGTACCCGTCAACCACCCTCACCCCTCCTCCCTCCCTGTTTATTTTTAAACAGTATAATGACTCTGTGTTAGACGGTAACCAAAAAGTGCCAGAGAACGATAAAACAAGAAGGAGCCAGGATATCTTCGAATGACTACTCACAAAATTAATAGTGTTACACAAGCTGTTTTCTTGATAACAACGTTCAGTTTTTTGGCTCTCCTATAAAACTGTAACAACTGCAAATACCGTATTTTTTAAAATGACGAGTCAATGTTTTGATGTACTACTCCCGTAGATTTGACATCCGTGGTGTCACCTTTGACAGATGACAACATATCTCCTCCGCCCCCTCTCTTTTTTTTGTAAGTGTCATATGAGCGCGCGGGACACAGAACATTTTTAAAGTTTTGTCAGGAATTTATTTTGAACTAGCTGGGCCCCCTTTTGATGAAAGGAAAGATTTGTGCAATAACATCAACTGAAAGTCATTGGCCTACTTTATTTACACTCTACTGGAATGGAGCAATACATCTTGAGAGAAAAGTGACACACGTGTTTCCATGTTGCTAAACACGTAATGTATAGATTGATTCTCTCTTCCGCTTTCGTGGTTGTACACTCCAGAATTTCAAAGGTGTGGCATCAATGTGTCCGGCCAGTGAACGGACACCTCTCTTGCTTACTATGGCGTCAAGGAAGACGGATTTTCCCTAGATTAGAACTACGTGAGGACGAAACAAAGCATTTTGGAAAAATCGGGGAAAGCAGTTTGTGTGGATTTTTTAAAGTTAGGTCCTAGCCACATGGATGCTGCCGACGCCTGCAACGTTTCAAAGGCGTGGGTTAGCTACTAAGAGAGGAGTTTGTGCACAAAGCCTCCCATGTCCTTTTTTTATATATATAGCCATAGATTTTACCCGGGTGGCGGCCGAAGCAACATCTCAGTCTCAGTTCTCTACTTTCCTTCCTCAGTGTGTCCCGCAGCTCCGTTCTCGGATGCTCTGCTCCCATCTCTTCTTCTGTCTGTCGCTCCGTCGCCCTCCCTTCAGAGTGCCTCGTAAAACAGTTTCAGCAAGACTGAGGAACGGGTGACATTGTCAGAGACATTGCCATAGCATTTCAGATCATAGTGTTGACAGGGGCGTTAACTCTATACCACGGGGGCTCTCGTGGCTTAGAGGTTAAGGTGTTCGCCTCTCATTCAAAAGTCTCGGGTTCGAATCCGGGTAGCGATGTAATAGTTCTTTTCTAAAACTGTCTCCTTTCCTGCTCTATAGCAATGTTCTGTCGTCTCCTTTCGTCTTCATTTTCTGCCCCCCACCCCCTCACCTCCTTTGCCCCTTTCTCTGGGCTTCTGACTCTTTCTGCAGCCTTTCTACTGCTTCTCTTTGGCTTTTACTTACTGCTGTCTTTCAGCCACACACCTGATCTTACGGTAGGTAAGATCTACACCTAGTCTTCTCGGACAAGGGCGAAACATCTTGCAGGTCCCACGAAAAGGTTGCACGTGTCTAAGACCCCTTGGTGATTCAAAATCGATAAGAGTACGCCCAGATGCAGTTGAGTGCGCCTTAAAACACTTACCAAAAAACAACAACAACAACAACAAACAAACAAACAAAAAACCCAACCCAAACTCCCCCCCCCCAAAAAAAAAACACACAAAACAAACCCTATACCTTTTCACTTTTCCAACCAAACAACAGGTCCCCCCAGGTGGAGATCACAGCGCTACATCCTGGCCTACTTCCTCCTCGGAGGCATGATGAACATCTTCTTCCAGAGAACCAACTTCAGCATCGCCATCATCTGCATGGTGAACCACACGGCCGTGGCGCAACTAGGGAGAGGAAGACTACACCACAACAACAACAACACATCGCTTCACGAACTCACAGGCTCACCAAATAACGCGTCCAACAACACGTCCAGAGCTCATTTACTTAATCTCTTCCATAACCAAGCGGGATTTGGAGCTCTGAACAACAACAGCAGTTCAGTTTCGTCTTCGACGAAGAATTCTTCATTTCTAGATTATTCACTTTCTTCTTCAAATGTGACTACATTTCTGAGTAGTGGTGGTGGTAGTGGTGGTGATGGTGATGGTGATCGGAGTATACGTGGTGGGGGATTTCCCTATATGATGAGGAATGTCAGTGGAGATATACTTCGTGGTGTGACGACATGGAAATATAACAAAGACGATTCGGGTGAGAGGGTAGATTCTGGGAGCGGAGGTGGTGGTGGAAGTGGAGGCGGAGAGGATACCTGTGCTAGCCGTGGGGCAGGTGGAGGAGAGGAGAAAGAGGTGAGTATGACTGTGTATTTCTTTCTTTCTTTCTTTCTCTTTTTCTTTCTTTCTTTCTTTCTTTCTTTCTTTCTTTCTTTCTTTCTTTCTTTTACCAATATTAGAGGTTAAATTAATATATTATTTTAAAATTTCAATTTTATTGATCCCAGAAGGGCAATCTAGTTTACAATGACAAACATACATACCTACACAACTACATGATTATAGATACATACATACACAAAGGTATGATTATAAATACACACATACACAAATACATGATTATAAAAAGATACATACACACATACATGATTATAATAAATGTATACGTACATACATGATTATAATAAATGTATACATACGTAAATACATGAATACATACATACATAGATATAATATGATAATAATAAATACATACCAACATAAATACATACATACACATAATTTATATACATACATAAATTCACAAAATTACACCAATACAGAACAATTTCACACGTCATTGCTGGTCACCACTGCGCAGCGCCCTGTTTGTTGAGCTGGGGTTGTCGTGTCTTGCTCAAGGACACACCCCAGTGACCACCCATCTGATTCCTGTGTAAATGGTCTGTTTGTGAGTAGAAGCATGAATCGTAATGTTTTTGTGTGTATAATATGTGTATGGAAGGTGGG